TATATATATATATACACACACATGTATTCAACTTTATACAATAAGTAATTGTTTCGTTTAAAATTGATTCGCAATTCGATTGGTCGATTTTTTATCTTCGTGTTTGGATATTCAAGTTCGCACGATAAACACGTGATATGTAATTTATGAAAGAGACGTTATTAGGTTGGCTGGAAAAAAGTGATTCCGAGATTCAAGATGACGTTTCATCTCGTCATTTATTTTTCGCTTCGATTCGAAAATGTTATACGCTGAAAAAAAGGAAAAAAAGGAAAAAGAAATGAAACAAGTTGGAAAAGAAATTGAACCGCGTCATTTTTTTCCCATCAACCTTAATTAATATTCTTTCTTTCGTCTTCGATACGTATTTCGAACGATGAGAATTAAATAGAAATGCAAAATGGAAACGAAACGCGACGTAGAAAAAAAGAGTAAAAGAAAAGAAATAAAAAAAGGATATTTAATAAATTCGTCGATATATGTTTACAACTATTTATTTGGTCCCCGAATTTGACGATATTCTACGTCGTTTCCTATGATTCAAATAAAAGCAAAGCGATCATAATTCCCTTATGATCCAAATCTCTCCCTTTTAAAACTAAAAAAAAATTGTCCCTTCTTCGAAGAACGGTGATCTTCTTTCGAAAATCGATCGTCGTCATACGAGAACATAAATGCCGAAGCGCGAAATTATGGCCCCCTTTGTACGCGTATCGTACCGATTTGGTCCAAAAATACGCTTAAATAGCGACTAATAAATTACTCGAATCAAATTTCGATCTAATCGATAAGCTCTCATCGATATTCGAGATGCGAGTGAAAACAAGTAAGCGTAATTGAACTCTGTCGCACATATTTTTTACTAATTGCAAGCGACGATTATCGTAAAATTTCAAACTTTCGACGATGAAAGCAAAATTCTTGAAAAGAGGAAACGTAATTCATTCTCTATATACAAGATCGTAAGTAAAATTTTGAAAGCTCTTAGAACGATCTATCGATAAAAATTATTTAAAATTATTTCACTCCTTTATTTTCTCTATATACACCTCATTGTTTAAATTCGAACGATAGCAGCCAATACCCTTCTAATAGGATATCGATCGATTCTTTTTCGTAACAATGAAAAGCGAGAAAACAAGAGATTGAAATATCTATCGGAATTTAGATCGTTTTTGTCGCGATCGTATTATACGATTATCGTCCGATATGTGAAACGCTTCGTCACGCTTGCGATTTTTCCTTCCTCTCCTATTAATTGTGAAAAATTAAATCGAGCGAATGAAATTTTCAAGCATATCCGTATCTTTATTTTCTTTTCGAAAGATGGCTGGTCGTTAACACGAGGGTCGAAGAGGAGCGGTCGAAAGGTGGGAAAAATGGATTCAGAGAGAACAAGGAAATACGAAAAGGAAAGTAGTAAAAAGAATGTACGCCGTATCGTGCCGAATAATGTCACACGAAACATCTATTACGCGATATCTTGGAAACGAATATCGATCTGTCACCGGCGAATCAACGAATCGGAACGCTCGAGGGAGGGGGAAAGAATATATCGAAATTGACGTTGGATACGATCGTCTGTAATCGATACACTCGATATTCTTTCTCTTTTCGCACGAGTTCGAGATATCGATCGCATAACGCTGGCAACTCTGCCCCTTCGAGTTCTCTTTCTTCCTTATTTATCCGACTTTCGCAAAGTTGGAATTTTGGACAAATTTTGGGCGAGATTAGGGTAGGAGGGACGAGCGGTAGGGTCATACGAGGAGCTCCTTGAGGAAGTCCTCGGCAAGCAAGTCCTACAAATAATCGTCGACGCGGTCGTTCTCGTCCGGCGGGCTGGGCTCGCTCACGCTCAGTATAGGCAGGCCGAAGTGTTGAACCTCGATGCTCGATTCGGGCGTACGCTTCGTCGCGTAGTCGCAGCTCTTCGAGTGTCGTTCGATCCCCCCCCTTCGATGGTAATGGTGATAGCGAGCCGGCCGAGCATCCGTGTCCCCGGATCGACGACAATACCTGCCAATTTTATCCCTCCTGTCATCCCCACCTCGAGGAGACCCCCCCCTCCACCTTCCTCCGTCGTCCGCGTCTCCACGATCGAACCCGATACATCTCGACGTATATAAAACGATACAATCGGATATACGTATCTTCTGTCTTTTTTTCGAAACAATAATTCGAAGGGGGATTCTGGAAGGAGACGCGGCGAAGGAGAAGGATTTCTCTTACCTCTCGTCCATGGAAGCGGGTTGCCGCACGGGGCATCGAACGTACTCGTGACTTCCGCCTGCTCTCCATCCACCGAAACGTCGGCCGACCAACGACGAGGAACACGTGACCGGCGAATCCCTGTAAACGTTCGCGCCTGAAAATTCTTCTTCATTCTTCCGATCGAGAATTATCATAAAAATGATAACGTAACGTCGATAACGAAATACGGTTCCTTTTTTACGTTGCCCTTTTACGTTGTCCTTATCGTTATTATATACGTATCGATCGCGAAAAGAATATTGCGTAAGTAAGATCGCAACGTTTTACGTAATCGTCGAACAGTTGCACGTAACCGTGTGTCGTTCTTTGGATTTAATACGCTTACGTAAATTAGAAAAAAAAAAAAAAAAAAAAAAAAAAGGAAAAAAAGGTTAACGAGAAGATCGATTCGTTCAAGAAAAGTGGAACGCATGGATAACGATGGATCTATTCGCTTCTTGTCGGGGAATTCGTAATATTCGCACTCCGTCGGTATGAAAGGTTTTATTCGAGAAGCGACACGTTCGTGTTTTATTCCCTTTGGCGAAAATTTGCGAGATCTAACGCACGTTTTTTTCCATGGAAAGGGACTCGAGTATAACGATGTTATACCCGTCACGTACGAATAGCGAAAGATTTAGATCAGAGGCGCGATGCGAATGGAAGAAATTTTTGAGACGAGAGGAGAAAAAGGAGGAAAATTCCACGAGTTTTTCGCAAGCTTCGTTATTCTTAATTACAAGCTCGTTATATCGATCGTTTCGATAATCTTGGATAACTTAAAAGAGATTTAAAAGAGCGGCGAAAAAAATCTTCTCAAAGTTAACTTACTATCAATTATCCGATATCTAATTAACTTTGGATATTAAGAGAGTAGAAAGAGAAATTTTCCCTGTGAATTTTCAACTTGAACGTTTCCTTTAAAAGTTTCACTTGATGGAATAAATAAATAAATAAATAAACTTTGACGCGTAATTCAACTTGTGAAAATTCTTATTTACAAAAAAAAAAAAAAAAAACCTTGGCGGGGTATTCCACTTGGGAAAATTTTTTTTTACAAAAAAAAAAAAACAAAATCTATCTTCCTTATCTTTCGAGAAAGATAAGAACGATTCTTTTCGTTTTCCACACTGAAGCTATTGTAAAACGTAAAAATAATCTTAATCGTTTTATTAAGATTCACATCCCGATCTCCGTGATCTTCTTGATCGTGATTAGAAAGAACGGATCCCGGATTCGAGAGGAACACCTTTTCCCTTTCCATTCCATTCCGCTCGCGAACGAGAATTACCTGGAAGATTGTTGTTGATGATTGGGATCGAGCAACGAGATGTCCGGATTGTCCTTGGGACAACTCTCCAAGCTACTGTGCCTCTTCGATTCCAAATCCTCGGATTTCTCCTCCTGGGTCGATCTCAGGAACGACTCTTTGTCCCCGTCGATCCCATCCTCTTTCGAGTTTCGTTGATCTTGTCGATTCGAGGACGCTAATGGTAAATTATCCGCGCTGCGAACCTTCCGGCACAATTTCGACGTGGAACCGTGCCGTCTTAAAAATTCCTGCGAAAATCCCATGCGAAAAAAACCGCATTGCGGGCACAGTCGGTAAAGTCACGCTCCCTTGCATTATTTACAAACCGTCACTTCATTTCAAACGGAACGCTTTTCTCTTCTTTTTCTCGCCTGCAGAACTGGCTCGATACTCGAAGAAAAATATAACGAAAGAGAGTCGAAATTTATTAGGGAATATACGTATTTATCGCGAATACGGATCTGACGAGTGTCTATACCGCGTGCAAAAAATTCGTTATAAAAAAAATGGGGGGGAAACAAAAAACGCGTGGCGATTACCGCGATGGCGGTCCATGCGACGAGGGAGGGGGAAAGGACGAATTCGAACCACGTACGTTCGGTTCGGTACGAGCGAAACGAAAGGGGCTTATCGATCAACCCGTGAACTACACTTCACCTCCGACTACCTTGAACTTTAACGTTTCTGACGTGTCTATCTATTTTGTACACCGCTCTCTTTCGCGCTCTCGTTACATATTTCAATATGTAATTCGCCTCCCATCGAGCAGACGCCCGAATATCGTCCGAACATCGAGAATATCTCCATCTTCGTTTTAAACGATTCGAGATCTCGGTCGATTAGGAAGAGCGGTCGAGGGGAGGGGAGCGTAGAGACTCGATCGATTCTTTCATCGATTACCGAGCGAGATGGAAACGTTCGATGAAAATCTTTTCTTTCGCGGATTCTCGTAATTTGAAATTTCTCCACGATCCCTCGTCGCCTCCTCCTCCCCTCGCCACGACTGCGAATGGTTGGAACGGTTGGTCAGCCTCGGATCGAATACCTGGGATAGGAAGCCGGCCACGTCGATGGCGCTGTTCACCCGCGGCCTCGAGGTTCTCGCCCATCCGAAACCGCCTCCGCTGTCCAACGAGTCCACGTGATGGCTCGACCAGTGCAGATGCTGCGGAACAACGCCATTCTTGATTAATCATTCTTCGCCCTTTCATCCCCGATATCCCCACCAAGATCCAAATTGCATTTTCAATTGTTGTGATTTTTTTTTTTTTTAAGCGTGATCGACCGACAGAAGGCAGACAAGGAGGACAAAGAATCTATCTACCCGCTAAGAATAAGTATTCTCGTGTCGCGATCCTTGTTCTTATACATACAATTCGAATGATGATCGACCGTATCGTATGCTAATTCGATCATTAAAAATTCAACCCTGTGTATTCGTATGTTTTCGCGACATATCTTCCGACGTTTCTTTATAAATAAATAAACAAGTTGTCCGTCGTATTTACGTCGTATTCCGCGATTTACGAGAAATAATTTTCTATTATTTTTCCTACAATTGTTAAGAGCATGCAAATCTCTTGTATATATACACACGAACAAAGATATACTATTTTTAGCGGGTACCAGAGTGAAGAAAATAATAAGAGAATATCAACGATTTTTCGACGCATCGAAACTCTTTAAACCTAATTTCTTAAGCCCCGGATACCTTTTCCTTTTTCGTATCTCTTCTACCTCGTACAACGAGATCATTCCTTATATTTCATTCCGCTTTGATCTTCTTCTCTTTTATATACGTATAAACGAATGATCGTAAACGACACGATTTGCAATTACGCGTTAAATTACGATGCACGCATATCCGATCATTTCCCATCGTTTGTCTACTATACTTGCATGTGTTTCCGCGTATATCCTCGGATGAAAATATTTCTTTTCATTCTTTTTCTAAATTCGAAAATCGATATTTAACCGAAATAAAATCGACGTGGATACATATCTCGATCGTCCTCGCAAAAATAATAATAAACTAAAAGATTTGATAAAAATTTATATATATATATATACGTATGATATATAATAATATCGAATAATTTTATTTCGAGTAGGATAGAAAAATAGAAAAGTACATTCAATACGCGTAATTTCATCCGAGTAATCGGTAGAAAATATTTGTATTATGTTTTTCGAGTCGATTTCATTCTCTGAATTTAAGTTAGTATAATATAAATCTACCTAATTGTTGCACGAAGGATAAAAAGTTGTAGTAAGTAAACAAGCGTTCTCAAGTGGGCAAGCGTTTTTTTCCCGGTGATCACGTGACATATCGTATCGCGTCGCTGTGTAAAAGCTGTGTCAAAACTCGTTCGCTCTTGTGCATGTGTTTTCTTTTCTTTTCTTTTTCCTTTTTTTTTTTTCAACGTCGATTCGTTCGAACCATACAACACATCCATACGTATCGTGTGATATACCTGTGCAGAAGAATCGGTTTGCTAAACGTGCGTAAGTGCTCGTCATTCGACGACTTGTGTGCACGATGAGCCGTGAAACGAATCGAAGCATCGCACACAGATTACTCGTAATTCCAAGCGGATCAAAAATGTATATTATTTACAAAAGAGCGATCAATGGGAACAGAAAGAGAGAGAAAGAGAAATAGAAAAAGAGTGAAAGAGAGTGAAGAAATAATATCCAATTAAATTAAACTTTTTTTTTTCAAAATGACAAACTTACAATTATTGGCATTATTAAAACTTTTTAAACCTGTTATCTGCTTATTATTTCGTGCTATAAGAATAATACGAATGAATGGTAAAGTTTCTAATAATTTCTCGTAAACGAGATCGATGAACGAGTATTTCGTTTTATTTATACGCGATTAAAATTGAAAGGAGAAAGAAAGAAAGAAAGAAAGAAAGAAAGAAAGAAAGAAAGGATTTGGATGTTTCGAGATACTTTGTGTAATTTGTCAAACGCGAACGATACGAATCGAAGGAGATTCGAGAGAGAGAGATAATTGCTGTTTCTTCCGTTTTTTATGCTTTTTATTTTTTTATATTATTTTTTATATTTTTTTATGTTTTTTACTTTTTTATTTATTTTTTTTTTTTTATGATTCAACGAGTGCGTCCAAATATCGTGTACGCCGATATAGAAGAGGAACAAATAGAGAGAAAAATATTTACCTGCTCTCTTCTAGTCTCGGACGGTACGATCGGATCAGTTTTGCCGACCGGTTGGTTCGCGTCTTTGCTTCTTAATTTAATCACGTATTTTATTCGATCGAAGTCGAATACATGCATACGTCTATGTACCCCGACCAGAGGGATTCTCGCCAAGATTTGGGTCACGAAGCTATTACCCCGGTAAAACTTTGAGACAAGATATATTTAGCGGAGCCATCGTTCTTCCCATGTTCTTTCTATAAACGTCCCATTACCAACACGGATACGGACCTTTTCCACCGTGATTCTCCTCCCTCTTGATTCTCCTTCCTCGTAACGTAACGGAACGCTACTTGATAACATCTTTTATCGAAATATAATAATAATAATATATCGTGATATCGTATCACGGATGACATCGACGCAAGGGGTACGTAGATGACGAAACTTTTTCTCGTCGTTCGATCGTCGTTCGTCGATACGAAAAGACGAGAGGAAAAGAAAGAGAAAAGAAAAAGAAACTCGGCTCGAATAATAATAACCGAGCGAGAGAGAATCGGTGAGATAAATAGTTGGAAAGTTCGGAAATGATATTATCGGTGTGATGTTAAGCGTTAAAAGGTGATGCTACTTGTCGAATCGAAACAAGTCAAGCGTGGTTTTCGTGCCGAGTGGACGTTTCTCCATTTCGTCGTTCCTTTCTATATATCCTTTATATACCGACTGTTCCCACTTTCCAAAAATCTTTTTTTCTTTTTTTCTCGCGTTATTTCAATTCGAAGATTATTTTTTTTTTTTTTTACTCGAAACGTGATAACACATACGAAATTGACACGTATCGATCGATCGATCGAAGGAATATTCGGAAATAAAGGGGAGATATTTTGGAAGTTTTTTTTTTTTTTAATAACGAAATTTTTAAAGGGGAATGGAAAAGAGAGGAAGGGACGTTTTGTATCAAACGATCGTTGACGAGCGCAAATCAAGGTTGAGAGCAGCGAACGTGAACCGAGTTGAAAGCGAGAACCTTTTTCCCCCTCCTCTCTGTATATGCACAACCTACATACACGGTTGGCACACGCCCGTTTTGTCGAAATATTTCACGTCGCGTTGGAATTTTAGGTCAGAATTTTAGGAAGATTCGACGCAACGCTCCTCTAAATTATCCTGCAAATATTTTCTTTCGGTTAACCAATCGAAAAGAGTAATAGTTTCCAAAATTCTAAAAAGAAAGAAAGAAAGAAAAAAAGTTCGATAACCCGTTTATTCGAATCGTTCACAATAATCGCGGAAGAATAAAATTGCGAGCGATTTCTTTGAAAGATTGAATCGCGGTGAGAAATTCATGCACTGTTTGGAAAACGAGAAAGAAAATTTTTCCCTGTATCGTAAAAATTGATTCTATATAGTTTCTCGCGTCGAAACGATATTTTTACGAACGCGCACGATGAATAAAAAGAAAAAGATGAAGAAAAAAAAGAATATCTTCGAGAGTCGGAAATCCATTTATACGAGATAATTTATACATACGAAGAGAGGAAACCGGAGAAAGGAAATGAAGATGAAAATTCACGGAAACGTAAGTAAAATAACATTCGCGATAAATTTTTAATTTTTTCCCTCGAGTTAAAGAAAAAGATTCTCTTTCTTTCTGCGTTCGTCAATTTTATTTCTATTATATTTTTTTCTTTTTTTTTTTTTTACGAGAATACCATCGCGTTTTAATCGAAAATAATTTTTTTTAAAAGCTTCATATCCGGTAATGGAAAAATATCGGAAAAATAATATTTCGGCTTGCCAACTTCAAAGCATGCAAATTCTTCGTATATTGGACGATGTACGAGATACGTATCGTGTAAATTATCATACAAGCCGTTCCCTTCGAAATCGCCGCGGTTATATACGCTTATATATATGTTCAGAATCATTTTTCACGAGAAGAATCGAATCGAAAAACCGTCGAAGAGAATTTAGAATTTCGGAATTATGAAAAATATACGTGCACTGGCAAAGAAAGAAATCGTCTATATAAAAGATAACGAAAGTAGCGTTTAGCGGTTACGAATCGCATGCATCGCAAAAAGAAAAGCGTTTGATTCAAAGCGTTTCTACTGTACGTGTACTGCACGCGAAATAATATTCGAAAGCTGACCGCAAAACACAAACTTTTATGAGTAATAAAACTTTATAAGAAATTATATCGAGGTCCTGCAATAAATTCTATTCTTTCGACCATTACTTTTTTTTCTTCTTCTTCACCACTTACCTGATCATTTAATTCAATTATATCGAGATTATCTTTAACATCGAAACACGGAACGATATCTCGATTTTTCTCGAATATCGACCGTTCACTTCGATTCGAATTAAACGTAATTCGCCCAATCCCTTTGAATTTATTATCTCTTCCCTTATAAACGAGCACTCGATGAAAGTTGGCAAGCCTAAAAAATTTCGCTGATTAACCCCCCTCCCCCGATTCTTGGTTTGCGCTCATTCCTTATACATCTCTCAACGTATCAATCTCGTCACACTCGCTCGTACGAGAAAAAAATATTCGATCGAAAATTCGAATTACGTCGAGTTAAAGAATTTCGATACGTACGAAATCCCATCGCTGTGAGGTCGCTCGAGTCGCGAGATTTTTACCTCGGTCGGTCGATTTCTTAATCGACGGAGGGTATCGACGCTCGATCGATTAATAAGAGAACTCGGTCATCGTTGTATCCTCGCGTTCACGAGGAAAACCGCGAAAAGTGGACTCAGTCGGGCGGAATGAAGAAGAGGCGCACACATCGTAAAAGCAGAAACACGAAAGGCACACATCGCGACAGTATTGGAGGGAATAGAATGAGAGAGAAACGGCTGAATACGGAGCGAAGAAGACGGAGGAAGAAGTGGAAAGAGGATGTAACGGTAATAACAGTGGTAATAGAAGAAGAGGAAAAAGAAGAGGCAATAGTAGAAATAGAGATTGTTAGCAAGTACCGATGGTCACGCGATGTCGGCCCTGTGGAGTAGAGCGAATTGGCAGCCGCAGTCCCGGGGCTCTCGAGCTCTCCTCGGGTACTGAAAGCACTGCTCCAACACGCAACAGCCCCCGCCCCCACACTGCATCACCATATCCGACAATGTGGTCATTACCTTCGAGATTTTATGCGGGCGATACGTTCGGTGGCCCGTCATTTTTCGATTATTCGTTAAGTCGGACGCAACGGACACGACCAGACGGTTGGCAGAGGCACAAACAGATCGATTCCATTAGAACACGTGCACCGATTTCAATGTGGATGTCTATATATCTGCTTTTATATCGCGCCGATAAAAATCCGAAATTTTCAAAAGTAAAAGCAAGTTCGAATTTCGGATTGTTATCGCGAAAAAGTGAGGAATCTTAAGTGGATTTTTACGCTCGTTTTTAAATTCGCTCTGCCAATTTTCCTATTCTCTCCTTCTAAATATTATTCTCTGTGTCGAGATCGATCACATCTCGTCCATCCACGAATTTCCACGAATTTCACCGACCTAAATTTCCACCAATGATAGCGTTCGATAGCGGAAATTGGCGTCAATTCAAAATCTATCGATAAGAATTTTTCAATTTTCCGTTTTCGAAACGGTTCCTCTCGTCGATTTACGATCACGTTCGATTTTTGTCCATTTTTCATTTTCCGATCGTTAAGTTAAAATAATGAAATAGGTAATAATAATATAATAATTAAAATAATGAATATTTTTTGTACATCACGTGATTTTAATTAATCGATCGAGGAGGAAAGCGATCTCGAGTTTTCGATATTTACAAATCATTGGCAAAAATCGTGAATGAAACGCGTGAATGTATATATGCATGGAAAATTTACGAGATCGCATCCCTCCCCGAAATGAAACTTTTAGACGTGGACAAATGGGGCACCGTTCGAGCGAATATATATATATATAGGTCGATTCGATATACGTCTTTTTGATATACGTATAGCCTTCGGTGACAATCCTTCCGAGTACCGCCCAATTAAACCAGAATCTGATCGAATCGATATCTTTCATCCAATGCCGAATACGTATTTTACGATTTACGTTTCCTCGATCCAAAATAACGCGTTCGAATATTTTATCGATTATATAGCTTCTTGTTTATTTCAGAAAAATTGCTCGAAAATTAAAATTAAATGTTGAGAGAGAGAGAGAGAGAGGGGCAAAAATTATGCCGATTTATGATAAACTTATTACGAAAATAACGAATATTTTATCGATTATACCTTCTTGTTTATTTCAGAAAAATTGCTCGAAAATTAAAATTAAATGTTGAGAGAGAGAGAGAGAGAGAGGGGCAAAAATTATGCCGATTTATGATAAACTTATTACGAAAATAACGAATATTTTATCGATTATACCTTCTTGTTTATTTCAGAAAAATTGCTCGAAAATTAAAATTAAATGTTGAGAGAGAGAGAGAGAAACTTATTACGAAAATAACGAATATTTTATCGATTATACCTTCTTGTTTATTTCAGAAAAATTGCTCGAAAATTAAAATTAAATGTTGAGAGAGAGAGAGAGAAACTTATTACGAAAATAACGCGTTCGAATATTTTATTCGCCCAATTATTCCTCTCTCTTTATTCATTATTTCGGAAAAATGCTCTAAAATTAAATTTAAAAATTGAGAGAGAGGCAAAAATTTCGCCAATTTTGATTTACGATAAACTTACTACGAAAATAATATTTTATTCGGGAATATTTTATTCCCAATTATCCCTTCTCGTTTATTTATTATTTCAGAAAAATTGCTCGAAAATTAAAATTAAATATTGAGAAAGAGAGAGAGAGAGGCAAAGATTTATAATTTTGATTTATAATAATATAAACTTACTACGAACGTTACGTCTCTCGATCGAAATTATAAATCGTTTGGATTTTGAAGGAATTT